ATGAGGAAAGCATCTCATTTCTCATCATTAAGTATGATGTCAGTTATAGAGATTTTACAGATGTTCTTTATTAAATAGAAAGTTCTCTGTTTCTAGTTTGCTGGGAGCTTTATATTATAAATGAATGTTGGATTTTGTCAAATGCTTTTTCAGTATCATATGATATAACTTTTATATGTGATTTTTATCTCAATTTGTTTATGTGATATATCACATTTATTGATTTGCGGATATTGTACCTGCCTTGCATCCCTGGGATAAATCCTACTTGGTCATGGTGTATGATCTTTCTGATGTACTACTGGACCCGATTTGCTAGAATTTTGTAGCGGATTTTGGCATCTGTGTTCATGAGGGATATTGGCCTGTAATTCTCTTTCATTGTGTTGTCTTTACCTGGGAGGATAGGTTTTAGTTCTTCCTTGAATGTTTGGTAAAACTCCCCTGTGAAGCTGTCTGGCCCCGGGCTTTTGTTTGCTGGAAGCTTTTTGATGACTGCTTCAATTTCTTCCATGGTTATCAGCTTATTGAGATTTTTAGATTCTTCCTGATTGAGTTTTGGAAGGTTTTATTTTTCTTATGCTTGAAATTTTCCGTTGTAACGTGAAGGAGGAAAAAGTAAACGCCGCCCTAAAAGACCCCTTCATGAGATGTGTCTTCAAAAGCTGTGATGTTTCTCTTGGACTATGTGGTCTCTTGTCCACTTCAGATCAGGATTTCTAAACTGTCTTTGAAATTTGATTCTTTATTTTCTTAATAAGTCCTTTCTGTCAGTATTCTTTATTTGAAGGTTTTCAGGTATCCTTAAAAGTTATTTCTCTTACAGTTGCAAGGACAACATTAAATATAGTTGAAAATGGAATGAGTTCCCATTTATTGCATGATTCACAGTACCTTTCAGTTGTTATTGAGACAAAATTTATTTTAAAATATGTACAGTGAATTGAATTCAGAGGAAATGTTTGAATAACCATGTAGACTAACAGTAGACAAGATGAATTGACAGTTTTTTTTGGACAAGTCTGTTTTCATGGTCTAGTCTAAAAGATAAGTCTTAGTTTATTAAGTCATGTGTCTCACTCCAGAGTTTTCAGCCCCTTATAGCCTTAACAAGACTTTAATGAAATGATGACTTAGCCAGCCACAGTTAAAGTTGTTTTTTTTAATCTTGAAAAATATTTTTAGAAGTTAATAAAAGCACAGAAAAAATTATTCATATAACCCCATCACAGAATAAATTAATATTTGTCCACATTTTAGAGCATGATTTTTCTTTTTTTCCTTGCTTCTACAATGGTTATTACCAAGATCCAGGCCTATTAGTACTAACAGCCATGTAGAGTTGATGACAGAGTTAAGGTGTAGTCGGGCTTGTCTCCAGCGCTCCCTGAAAGGGGACGGTGGGTATTTTGTTTTGACATTATGGATGGTGAGAGTCAGGGAAGAAAGACAGGCCTTCAGTGGAGGTGAGCCCCAGAGCAGGGAGTAGGCTAGTTCTTCCTCCTCCTGTCACATCAAACTCCGTGAGTATAGGTGTCTCTTTTCAGTTCAGTTGTGGATACCTTCCTGGCAACTTAAATAGGTTCTGTGTCCTGCTATCCTTAGAGATCCTACTATTTGAATAAGTAGCTACTTATCTCTGGAATGGAGATGAGAAATATTTCCAACCTTTTGTTACAAAAGAAAATACCTGTGGAGCCTAGGCAGGTGAGTCATCCCTAAGCTGAACATGGTGAGAGAGGAAAGTGCTGGGTTTTGCCATCCTCCACCCAACCAGGCCCCTGAAAGGCTGGGGTGCCCAGAAGAAGAGAAGCTAGGAGAGGGGCAGGAGGAAAGGAAGAAGCAGAAAGAGGGGGTTGCTGCCAGCTGTGATGTGGGAGAAAGCATAGGGACAGATGGAAACTACTCCTCTGTTAAGTCGTAGGAGAAAAGAGGTGTTTCTCTTTTTCGTTTCATTGAGTTCCTGAAAGTGCCTAATGTCCCGGAATGGAAATGTTTCATGATTTGCCATGCAATCATAAAATTTTATTTTAAGCCCATTTCATTTCTCTTACAAAAAATGAAAGGAGGCAAATATTAGTGAAGAGGAGACTTAATTAACTTCCTGCTCTTGAGTTCCTCAGGACTAAAGCCCTTCATGTGTGCCTTTCCCAAACACTAAATCATGGGACTGTGGCAAAGATGTTGAAACCCAAGGGAGTGCTCAGTAATCCGGGCCCAGTCCTTGATGTGCCATCTGGAAACCATGAGTTCAGTGAGCATGGGCTCTCCCTGCAGGATCTGCCTAGACTGCAGCTATAAAATATGACCCGCCTGTCAGACAGTGTGTCCCTCAGCACGAGCTTCGTCCCGAGCTCTAAATTCTTCAGTTGGGGCACTGGCGCCTTTGAGTGAAGCTGATGAGAGCTTTCATGCTGCGCCACCTCTTTGCCAGCGTATATGTAATGTTGGCTCCTTTTAATTTAGGGTTAGAAAGATGTCCTAGGTCTTAGCGTTAAGCCTTCCAATGATGAGTTTTCTTTCTCTGGCCACCTCCACCCCTCACTCCAGGTCTGAGTTATGTGACCACGCCAACTTCACCGGGGCGCCTGGACCTGTCCCTCTTGATGATAAGCTGTAATGTATATCATGGTTTACTGTAACGATTGTCTTGTTACAAAGGCAAAAACCATGTGTCATCTCTGCCATATCCTTGGTGAATGGTGCAGGATTTGGCCATGGTCATTGCTAGAGAAACAGGTGCTAGGTGAAGAAATGAATGACAGTCCTTTCAAGGAACCAAAGGACTCCATTTCTTTTCTTGTCTTCTGTGCTTTATTCAAAACTTAATCAAGGTGCTTCGAGTTTGACACCCTTCCTTTAAGTGTGATGCTCACACCTCCAGCAGAACCACCCAGTGGTCGTGTATAAAAAATGAAACGTGGACCCCAACCCAGGCTTCTGCGTCAGGCAGAATCTCTTGAGTAGAGACCCAGGAAGCACTCTTAATAATCACTCCATGTAGTTCTTTTCTTATGTGCTACTAAGGTTTAAGAACCACTGCTCTAATGGTGGATAAGATGGATATAATACATTTTAATAAAGTTATAGGAAAAGACTGTAAAGTTGTACTAAGATTTCTAACTAGGGTCAGACTCACTCATCCATGCAATACATATCAACACCTACTATGTGCTAGGCACTCAAGACAGAGTGGTGAGCAAGGGAGACATGGTTTCATGGTGCTTACAGTTAGACAGACTGCAAGTGAATATACATTGTGAATTGTGGTAAGTGTATGAAGGAAGAAATTGACAGCAACATACAGAAGATGAGAGGCCATTTAACTCAGGCTGGAAGAATGAGAAGAAAGTCATCATGGGCAGAGTTCGGGGTAGAGAATGGGGAGAACAGTACAGAGAGAGGGGCCCCATTTGTGATCGGCTCCTCAAGGAAGAATAGAGCTTGGCCAAACTGAGTGGATAAGAGGCTGCAGTGAGGGGTCATGATGAGAACTGGACCAGGAGGGAAGCAGACACAGATCAGGAAGTCACACGTGGAGGATCTATGATTTCATACTAAGTATAGAGATTGGGGGTGCAAGGAAGCCTTTGAAATGTGAGACAGGCATCACAGTGCAGTGTGTTTTAGAAGATCTGTCTGCTCTCTGTGTGATTCAGAATAAATTGGAGGGAGGACGAGGGTGGAGGCAGAGTGTCTAAGGGGGTTATTCAATCCAGGTGACAGTGGCCTGCATAGCCAAGAAGTCAGTGGATTCAAGAGGGAAAAAAAGGGTGAATTCTGGCAAGAAATTGGAAGTGGGAGGAGGGCAGTGAAGAGAAGACAGCTGGGTAGACAGTTGGAGACAACCAAAAAGAGAGAGTGTCGCTTTCTAAAGAGGGTGGGGTGCTGAAGGAGCCAGAGGTTTCTGTGGTGAAGGCTTGAAAGATGAGTGTTCCCAAGCAGACTAGGATGGCAAGGGGAAGAGAAGGAGAAGGAAGGCATTCCTTGTAGAGGACTCAGCCTGACAAGGCTCAAAGACAAAAAAAGGGAAAAAAGAAAAAAAAAGGTGTTGTTCCAATACTGCACAGATCATTGTAGACTTATTATAAATGATTGGTGAACATTTAGTGAGCCTTAGGGGAAGGATATGCACCATGGTTATATACACAGTAATATGAGTTATGAATCAAAATGTTGGAGTTGGGCCTCACCACTAAGTTTGCCTCTGTGAGCCTCCGTTTCCTCACCTGTAAAGTGAGAAGAATAATCATAGCATCAGCCTTTGTGGGGATACTGTGAGGAATAGATGTGATCGTCCATGCAAAGCACTTGGCACAGTGGCTGATGCAGTAAGCGCACTGTGAATGTTTGACGTGGTGGTTCTGAGGCTCCATGTGCAGTTAATTGAGCAGAGTATTTGGATTTGGAGTCATAATTCTTGCAAATTATTCTAATTTGCTCATCTATAAAATGAGCAAATTAGAATAATTACTGGCTTCTAAGCTACCTCATAGTTCTAAAATGCTTTGATTCTACTACATAAGTAGTTACCATCCAAAGAAGACTTACACAATTTCTTATCTACTCAGTTTAAGCAAGAATGGCCTTGCCCTTTCACCCCAAATGAAATCTCTACTAATTACGTAATGAATATTTATGACTTCAGATGTAATACAACCTATTATTTTTAAAAGATTAAAAAAAATAACCTTGCTTGCTGGTGTTGTAATAGCTCAGCAGTAGAAAATCAGCATACACTTCTAGTCTAATACCTGAAAAAAATTAGGTTGGTGGACAATAACAACCATTGGCTACGTATGACCACAGACAGACATGCCTCCTAGTCTAGTATCTATATGTAGGATGTGTGTGTACCAGGGGAGAGGGAGAATGACAAGCTAAAAATGGTTATAATGGACTGAGATAATTTGGAACCTGTTGAAGAGACCATTTTTGTTCTAATTAAAGTAGATTAAAGATGTTTGATACAGTTCGTCCTCTGAAGCTTCTTAAATATGCAGCCGTAGATCAAAGGCCTCAGGTATTTAAAGTGGATGAAGGAAAACATCTAACCACTGTGCTGTACACCTGAGACTAATATAATATTGAATGTCAGCTACAATGGAAAGAAATTTAAATAAGGTAAAATGGGTGAAGGATTTGAAATCTGTCCTTTTATTGACTGCAGAAATATAACCAAGATAACCACTCTTTCTTTCAGTGCCTCCTACATGAAGGGCTAAACTTTTTTTCTGATGTTAAAGGTGAATGAGAGTTTCAAGCCCAGTGTTGTAGCATAATAACTATAATAGCTAACATTCATTGCATTCTTAAGTGCGCTTTGCAACGAAGTGCTCTGTGAACATTCTCATTTAATCTCTCCAACTCTAAGAAGCAATCCTACTTTTATTTTATGGCTAAGGAACCAAGGTTCAAAGAAATGTATAACTTTCTTGAGGTTACCTTGCTAATAAAACCACTAAATGGATGGAATACGCTTGTTACATGGTTTGAAATTATTGAAGCCCACCAGCCAAAGACTCTCCAGAAACACACCTGGGATCAAACAAAATTAGTTTTATTTCACTCATTGTAGTAAGAAAAAAATGCATACCCTTGGAGTCAAGAGGAGGAGAAACGGGGGGCTTAGTGCGGCTCGGGGCTTGTGCTGGGGGGTCTAATAAGGACTTAGGGAAGCGAGGACTGTCCCGTTTTCTTTGAGTGTCCTCAGGAAGCGGGTCCATTTGGTGGCTTGGTAATTTTTATCTAGGACGTGAGAAGACTGAATAGAGACTAGATGGACATGAGTCAAGAAGCAAGTTGTTCATCTTAGTTGGAAGGGAGGTATTCTGGTTATTTTTGTGGTGCCGAAGGGCCTTTTTTCTGCTTGACGAGATTGCGGTTTGTTTCCAAATTGCTCCTCCATGGCCACAGAGTGACCATGTCTGAGAATTGTCTGCGTTCTGCCTAAGTTGTTTATACTGAGTTACAAACCCTCAGACGCTGCAGCCTGGCTGGTAACTGTCTGGCTGCTCTTGCTCTCTTTCTTTCCTCTCACCCCCACCCCCTTGTTATTTCATAGCAGCTAGCTTATTCCTTCCCTCTGAAGAAGAATCCAACTACCGTTGGGAACCTGTGCTCTCTGGGGGTTTAGCATAGGGAAGGTTTACAGATCTGGGGAGACCTCATCTTGAATCCTAGACCAGCCACTTCACTGCCTTTTGACTTTGAGCAAATCACTTCTTTTTTGGGGTGGGGGGAGGGCTACCTTTCTTCATCTCTAAAGTATGGGAATGATAATCACCTTGCTGGGTGTTTTGAAAATTAGATATAATTTACATAAAGTGAATTTATCTAGTCACTTCAGTGACTATTTGAACTATTTGACACGCATAGTTCATTCTCAGTAGATAGTGACCAGTATTAAGGCATAAATATTTGTCAAATGTTAATTTGCTTATATTTCCTAATTTCTAACAGCAACAAATATACTTTTTTTTTGGTTAAATAAGCTATTAAATTGTAGGTCACAGAAGATAGAAAGAACCAGACTTTCTGAATATAATTATTGTATGTTAGTCATATGATGACACTATACTCTCTTTACATTTTGTTTTCAAATAGATAACATTGTGCTATTCATTTAACTAATTAAAAATACCAGGCCATTTTAAGCTCTCAGTGGTTCATTACCTGATACAACTTCATGAGATAGAGGCAGGTATGCTGTATTTATAGAATATGCAGAAGAAATGGTTGGCCGAATAGGACTGTAAATAACAGAAGATATAGAAAGACTATTTTTATTACATGGGTAGAAAAGGTCTTGTAAGACATTTCCACTGAAGGTTTACTTTTTACACAAGGCCAAGATTAGGGTTAAGTTACAGAAGGAATAGTGACTAAAATTAGCTCCATGTTGTGGGTGGGTTTTTTATCTTTGTATATTTCTACATTTTCCACAGAATATTACATTAACGATCAGAAAAAAATGATTTGGCAGAACCAGAAACCACACACACACACACACACACCATTCTGTTTAGTCTTCTAAAAGCCTGTCTGTTTTCCCTGAAGCTACTAGGCTTCTCAGCTGTCATTGCCAAAATCTTAACACCGTATATGTGTGTCTATGCACACACACGTGTACATGTCTCATAAAATACCCATGTGCTAGACATTAAATGGTCTTTGAGATTCTACTTCAGAGTTACCTCAAATGTATGACTAATGGAAACTAGTAGAATGGTCTATTACAGATGGTCAGGGTGTTGCTGAATAGTGTAGTCTCCTTTACTGTGTCTTTAGTTTTTTATGTGGGCTCTAATAATTTTATTCTCGGGGAAATACAATTGGAAAACATTCCACTAATGACAAAATTATTACAAATGACTCACTTTTTGTGTGTTTCCTTCCCCCCAATAATTGGACTGAGAGCTCCTAATGCTCTGATATATGGCAAAAGGCCCGCACATTTTCGACACACAGATAATACTGTCCAGTGGTTAAGAGCCATGGAGTCTATTGGTCTACCCAAGGTAAGCCTTCAGATACTGGGTCCTGAACCAGAAAGCCAAAGGGGAAAATGTATGAATTTCTTGTTATAAAAAACTAGAGGCCTGGTGCACGAAATTCATGCACTTGGCAGAGGCGGGGGGTAGGGGAGTAGGTGGGGATGGGGGTAGAGGGATCCCTCAGCCTGGCCTGTGCCCTCTCACAGTCCGGGAGCTGTCATCCTTAGCACTGCTGCAGAGGCGGGAGAGCCTCCTACCACCACCACTGCTGCGCTCACCTGCCATGAGCCCGGCTTCTGGCTGAGCGGCACTCGCCTGTGAAAGTGCACTGATCATCGGGGGTAGCTCCTGCATTGAGTGTCTGTCCCCTGGTGGTCAGTGCGCATCATAGTGACCGGTTGTTCTGCCATTCAGTCAATTTGCATATTAGCCTTTATTATATAAGATGATTGGCGGACTGGGTATGTGAATGCAATAGATTGCCTTATTGCCTCAGGAAAGGCCTATACAAAGTAATAAATGGCAAGAACTCAGAATGAAGTGCGTGTACAGGTCAAGAGCAGCCATGCAGAAGTGAATATAAATTAAACAAGGTCAGAACAAACTTTAACTGGTAGATAGTTGATTTAAAATAGCCACCTCCCTTTTTTGTTTGCTATTTATACTTATGATTCCTAATCTCATTGCATCACTACAAATTATTATTACAAATATATTTTTATAAATTATTGCTACAAATCATTGTATCACTATACATTTTAAAGGCCAGGGGTTTATAGCTCTTACTCCTGAAATAGATCTTTTAAGTAAAACTCATTCAGCAAATATTCAGAGCTTGTTAAATTCAAAGGGCAGGCACCCATCAGCCTGTACGACAGACAGGCAAGTAGGGGAAATGAAGAAATAATTACATTTGATAGAAATTGTAGAGCTATTTCTTAAACATCTTATTTTGAAATAATTATAGAATCATAGGAAGTTGCAAAAATAGTACATCTGCGTGTACTCTTTATTCAGCTTCCTCCAGCAGTGACATCTCATAACTGTAGTAAATCATAAATTGGCATTGGTATATTAATGTTAACTAGACTGCAGACTTTATTCAGTTTTCACCATTTTATGTGCATTCATGTGTATGTATGTGGGGGGTTTCATTCAGTCCATGAACAGGTTAGTGTGACCATCGTAAGGTGCAGACCCCACAGAGGAGTGCCCTTTATATTGTGTCCCTCTCCCAGCCCTGTCCCCAGACCACCACTGATCCATTCTGTCATTATGACAATGTTATAAAAATGGAATCATACAGCCCTAACCGGTTTGGCTCAGTGGATAGAGCCTTGGCCTGTGGACTGAAGGATCCCAGGTTCAATTCTGGTCAAGGGCATGTACCTTGGTTGCAGGCACATCCCCAGTAGGGAGTACAGGAGGTAGCTGATCGATGTTTTTCTCTCATCGATGTTTCTAACTCTCTATCCCTCTCCCTTCCTCTCTGTAAAAAATCAATAAAATATATTTTTTAAAAAAATGGAATAATATAGTAGATTACCTGCAGCAATTGCCTTTTTTCATTAAGCATAACGCCCTCGCTGCCCTCGAGATCCATCAAGGGTTTTTTGTGGGGGTTTTTAAATACATTTGTATTGATTTCAGAGAGGAAGGGAGAGGGAGAGAGAGATAGAAACATCAGTGTTGAGAGAGAATCATTGATCGGCTGCTTCCTGCACATCCCATACTGCGCGGATCAAGCCCACAAACTGGGCATGTGCCCTGACGTGGAATCGAACCGTGACATCCTGGTTCATAGGTCAGTGCTCAACCACTGAGCATGCTAGCTGGGCCACCAGGTTTTTGTATGTATCGATAGTTCATTCCTTTTGTATTGCTTAGTCTGGACAGCTATTTCAAAGAAACTAATTAGGAGTGGCTTAGCTTGAAGACAAATCAGTAGCTACTGACTAATTAAGACCTGTGTTCTTGTTGTTATTATTAATCCAAGTTTGCAGTTTTAAAACACAACAACAACAACAAAAGATTCATTAATGTAAATTATGCTTGGCTATTTTTAATATATTTTTGCTGATATCTATTTTAGTTCAGCTTATTTCATCTCAAAATAGTCAATAGGGATTTATTTTATTCTGCCATTTTTATTCTTTTACCTTCTCCTGAAATGCCCAGAACATTAAATGCCATTTCTTTCTAGGCACTAGTTATAATACAGAATTCATATTTCTAGATTGTGATTTAGCAAGTACTAACTAGGGGTTAGGTGTAAACAGATTAATAAAGCAAGAAATTCCAATAGGATTTTTTTCTATGTAAGGCAACGTACTTTAGATTAGGGTAATTTCATTATGTTTGATAGATTTGATTTAAACCTTTTTCAATTGTGTATATGTAGGGCCAGGCTTCCCTTGATTTTAAATGGAGCAAGTAATCCACATAGCAGATTCTATTTTTATTTTAGAAGATTCTATTTTAACATTGATTTTTATTGTGAAGTCATTGATTCATTACATTGCAAGATGAGAAACCAACAGTGTACTGAATGGACTGATGTATTTGCTATTCAATCTTCATTTATCAGAATTAAGTGCTTACTCTGTGCTCAGCATCAATCCCCGGGGGATCGGGGGGAGCATGCAGGTGGCAGCCAATCAGTGTTTCTCTCTCATTGATGTTTCTATCTCTCTCTCCCTTTTCCTTCCCCTCTCTCTAAAAATCAATTTTAAAAAAACATTTTTAAAAAGAATAATGTAAATAGGTTTTAAAAGCCTTAATGTTCTAACCTTTCAATCTAGTAACTTTATATTTAGATGTTTATCCAAAAGAGCTAATTAGGTGTTCAGGAAACGCAGGGATGTTCATTGCAGTGACTTATAATAGAGGAAAAATTGGGGACAAAAAAAGTGCAACCATGGGGAACTGGTTAAATAATGGTTAAAATATAAAAGAATCATGCATCCATTAGAAATAATATCCTTACAGAATATAAAAGGGGTCATGTTCTATGAAGTGTTTTAAACAGGTTATGATATGTGCAATTTTATTTTAAAATGCATCCATGCAAGCATAAAAATATCAGAGACATATATAGAAAAAGGACTGGAAGAAAGTATCCCCAAATGCTAATAGTGACAGTCTGGAGGTAGGATTATAGGTATTTTTCCTTCGTATTTTACCTATTTCCCAGAATGTATTCAGTGAATATATTACTTTAAGCAGAAAAAAAAATATCCTTGTATGTATATGCATGTTTATAGAACTGGGTAGCTAAGTTCTTAACAATGTAATAAAATGCTGAAGAAGAACATCCTTCTCAAGCCAGCGGACCTCTGGGCAGTCACAGGAGTGACTCCTTTGTAGAAAGCAGAGCCCAGATTGGCTAACGCCTTGTTAAAAATGAAACTGCCACGTAACTAACCATGTGGACACAGCCTTCTTGGAGTGGCCACCTGGGAACCTCCCAATCCTATCACCCCATACGCACACTCTCTTGAACCACTAGGTGGCACGTTGTCAGGCAGGGGACCAGATGCAGTGATTGGTCCTCCTGTAGAAGAAGATGAAGCAGTAACTAAGAGATTCTTCTGCTTTTAAATAAACACAGAACATCAAGGACAATCAAAGTAGGATCGTTTGGGAGAAGTACAACAATTTTGTGAAAAGCAAAACATAATAAAAACATTGTTTCTTTTGTTTTCCAGATATTTTATCCAGAAACAACAGATGTCTATGACCGGAAAAACATACCAAGAATGATCTATTGTATTCACGCACTAAGGTGGGAAAATACAACTAAAAGTCTAGAAAGTAAATTTAAATAAAACTAAAATTTTAATTTTAAAAGAGATCTTAAATTATTTTAATGACTGAAGAACTTTTATTAGGTTGAGTTATTTTAAATTCGCCAGTACAAAATTAAAATAATTGTCATGTAAAAAGTCTTTGAACTTGAAAAATATTTTGATGATTTTTAAGTCTACATCAAAATAGAAAACTAGAACATGAGTGAAAGATGTATAAGTATAATAAGAAAATTTAAGTAGAAACTTCTAGGAAATCTAATAGAGTGCTACAATATTCTTCAGATATGATTAAGTTTATATAGCAAAAATATATCAAATGAGCAGCTATAATGGTCATAATTTTGGTTTTGATACTCTTAAATTATTAGTTTGGTTAAATTCTTTTCACAGATTAATAAAATTCCATATGATTTTTGTTTGCTTTGTTTGATACCTCTTGTAAGGGTAAAGAAGATACTTAGAAGTTGCTTTAAATTAGTCAAAGGAAGATACATTCATTGTTTTTTGTGTGTGTGTTCATCTTTGTCTTTTGTTATCTTTGTTATCTTTAAATCTAGTTTGTCAGCTATAAGTATGGCTACACCTGCTTTTCTGTGGATGTTATTTGCTTGGAGAATAATTTTCTACTCTTTTACTTTGAATCTGCCTTTGTCTTTGCAGCTTAGATGTGTCTCTTGTAGGCAGCATATGGTTGGGTTTTGTTTTTTGATCCACTCTGCTACTCTGTGCCACTTTATTGGTGAATTCAGACCATTTACATTTAGTGTAGTTATTGACGTATGAGGATTTCCTATAGCCATTTCATCTTTTGTTTTCTGGTAGCTCTGTGCCTCCATTGGTTCTTTTCCTTTGTGTTTCTGGCTATTGTTTTTGTTTGGTAGTTTTTATACTTCTTTCCTCTGTTTCCTCTTTTTTTAAGATATGTATCCTGGTTTGGGGATTTTTGTGTGTGGTTACCATTAGGTTTATAAAAAATAAACTTGCATATATATCATAGCTTTTTTTCTTTTGAGTGTATCTGGTCTTTATCTTCCTTTGCAGGTTCAGACCTTTACCCCTTCCCTTTTCATGTTTTGTTGTCACAAATTATTCCTGTTTATGCTGTAAGTTTTAGTGATCTTACTCATAGTGTTGTGACCTTGTATTCTTTGTTTCAGGTATAATAACTCCCTTGAGTATTTTCTGCAATGAAGGTTTTCTGATGATAAAAATCCCTCCGCTTCTGTATGTCTGGGAATGTATTTATTTCTCCTCCATATTTAAAGGATAATTTTGCTGGGTATATTATTTGTGGCTGGTAATTTCCCTCTTTCAGGTGTTTGAATAATTGGTCCCACTCTCTTCTGGCTTGTAGAGTTTCTGCTGAGAAGTCAGATGATATTCTGATGGGTTTTCCTTTGTAGGTCATTTATTTTTTTCCCCTGGCTACTTGGAAATGTTTTTCTTTGTCATTAATTTTTGACAGCTTTAATTACAAGTGCCTTGGAGATAGTCTCTTTGAATTGAGGTAACTAGGTGTTCTGTTTGTTATTTGGATTTGAGGATCTAGTTCTTTCCAAAGGTTTGGGAAGTTCTCATCCACTATGTGTTTGAATAGACTCTCTGTTCCATGCTCCCTCTCCTTCTCCTCCAGAATCCCTATAATTCTAATATTGCTTTTTCTGATGGAGTCAGTTAATTCTCATAGAGCTCTTTCACTTTTTAAATTTTTTTATGCTCAGGTCTCTCTTTTCTTCCCTCTGCATCATTTCAGATTTCTATCTTCAATATCACTCATTCTTTCCTCCATCTGGTTGACTCTGTTTTCTGTGCTCAGTAGTTCACTCTTAATCTCCTTAATTGCATGCTTCATTTCCAGGATTTCTGATTGTTTCTTTTTTAAAGTTTCAATCCCTTTGGTAAAGTACTCATTTTGTTCATTGTTTTCTGAGTGTATTGAATTGCTTCTCTGTATTGAGTTGAGTATTTTCAGAACTACAATCTTGAAATCTCTGTCATTAATATCACATATGTTTCAGCTTGCTTTCTGAAGATTTTTTATTTTCTTTCTGGTCATCCATGTTACTATGATTATTCATATTATTTGCTGTCTTCCTTTGCTTATGCATTTCAGTAGATGGTGCTGAATCACAAGATTTTTTTTTTACCTCTGTGATCTTCCAGTCTCGAATCTCTGGAGCTTCAGGGGTGGGGTTTCTTTTGCCCTCACCATAATGGCATCCCACCCCAAGCACCCCTCCTGGGGATCAGTCACAGAGGGAACAGCTATTCTATTGCAGCAGCTCTTGGTTTACAATAATATGCTCCTGGACCCAACTCCAAGGGCAACGGGAGGTGAGTTTTGTAAGTCCACATGGAGGCAGGGCTCCGTGGTTTCGTTTCTTTCTCTGAAACACCACCGCCTGGATCGACAATGGAGAGTTGCATGGCAGAACCCTGTGCTCTGTCAAGCATCTGCTGACTTAGACACCGTTCTCTCCCTTGCCACTTGCCCTGCTGGGCTGCCCCATCCCTGCAGCTCTCTGTCCCTCCTAGCCAAAGGAAGTGCCTGTGACAGCCGGCTTTCTCCCCTCTTCCGGCTAAGCCGTGACTCCCAGCTGCAGGGCTACAGCCCATTTGCGCTTTGCTCCCTTCTCATCTCCCCCTTTATTCCCAATTGCTCACCTTTAGATGTTGCAATGCACAGGTCTCACAGGCATGCATCTGTGT